ATACAAAAAGGCACTGGACCAAAAAGAATTATTCTACATTCAACCCTTTCAAGAGGTTGTATGATCAAGAACCAGTGTACTGAAGGAAGAAGTCCAACCTACACTGAAGGCATTGGTGAAAAACAGGACTGCAGGAATTGACAGAATACCAGTGAGATGTTTTGACAAACAGATGCAATGCCAGAAGCACTCACTTATCAATGCAAGAAATTTTGAAGACAGCTATGTGGCCAGCTGACTGAAAGAGATCCATATTTGTGTCCATTACGCAGAAATATGATCCCACAGATTGTGGGAATTATCAAACTATATTGTAATATCACACACAAGTAAATTTTGGTGAGGATAATTTGGAAACAATTGCAGTACTGCATCACCAGGGGACTGCCAGAAATTCAAGACAAGTTCAGAAGAGGATGTGGAATGAGGAATATCATTGCTGATGTCAGAGGGATCTTGACTGAAAGCAGAGAATACCAGCAAGATGTTTACCTGTGTTTTACTGACTATGCAAAAGCATCATTTGTCTGTGTGGATTGTAACAACTTATGGATAACATTGCAAAGAATGGGAATTCCAGAACAGTTAATTGTACTCATACAGAACCTGTACATAGCCCAAGAGGCAGTCGTTTGAGCAGAGGAAGGTGATACTCTGTGATTTAGGAGCTATGCATCAAGGTCGTAGTCTTTCTCAATATTTATGCAATCTATATACTCAGCAAATAACCCGAGAAGCTAGACTATATGACGAAAACATGGCATCAGGATTGAAAGCAGACTCACTGACAACGTGTGATATGCAGATGACACACCTTGCTTGCTGAAAGTGAAGATGACTTGAAACACTTACTGGTAAAGATAAAACCATATAGCCTTTGGAATGGATTACACCTGAACAAAAATCCTCCCACCTGGACTAATAAGAAACATTATCTTAACAGAAAAAATATTGAAGTTATCAAGGATTCCATTTTACTTGGATGCATAGTCAACATCCATGGAAGCAGCAATGAAGAAATCAAACGATGTATGGCAATGGGCAAATTTGCTTTAAAGTGTTAAAAAGGAAAAGTTTTAAAAAGGAAAGATACCACTTTCACAACTAAGGTGTGCCTGACCCAAGCAATGGACTTTTCAGTCACCTCATATATATTCAAAAACTGGACAGTGACTAAGAAGGACCAAAGAAAAATTAATGCCTTGAATTATAATGTTGGCAAAGAATATTAAATATATTCTGTAGTACCCAAAGAACAAACAAATCCATGTTGGAAGAACAGCCAGAGTACTCCTTATAAAGGAGGCTGGTGAGACTTTGCCTCACATGCTCTGGACGTTATCAGGAGTGACCAGTCCTTGCAGAAACACATGATGCTTGGTAAAACAGAGGCCAGAGAAAAAGAGGAGCTTCCTCAGAAAGGTGGATTGACACGGTGGCTGTGACAATGAGCTCAAACACATCAAAATTATGAGGATGGCACAGGACCCAGTAGTGTTTCATTCTGTTGTACGTAGGGTTGCGATGAGTTAGAACCAACTTGAGGTTACCTAACAACAATAATATTATCTCTTATAAGAAGCCATGGTGGCACAGTGGTTAAAGTGTTTGGCTGCTAAACCAAAGATTGGCAGTTTGAAGCCACAAGCTGCTCCATGGGAGAAAGAAGTGGCAGTCTGCTCTCATAAAGGAAACAGCCTTGGAAACTCTATGGGGCAGTTTTACCCTGTCCTGCACAGTTGCTATGAATCCACATCAACTCAGCAGCAATGGGTTTTGGGTTTTATTTATCTCTTACAATAATATTAATACTGCAAGTAATGGGCCAACATTATTTTTATGCATAGTTTTTAATTTTTTTTCTCAGCTAATAATGGATTGATGCCTCATAGTTTATCATTGTTGTCATGCGATGGGTGAAATGCATTTCTTGCATTCCTAAGAAATTCAAACTCACCATGAAATTCATGTCGAATACATGGAATTCAAGTGAATACTTTTTAATGCCTATTTTGGAAAGTTGTGATTGCATGTAACTTGTGTGAAAGTACCAAAATGGGCTGAGATCTCTTTGGCAGGAACGTATCTAGGTAAAAAATCAATAACTATGAGTTGGGGCTGACTCGACGGCAAATAACAACAACAACATGATTACCTTGAGACTTGTATTGTAGTGTGTGTTGTGACTTCGTGGTAGTTGATATAGAGAACATGTTGTTGTTGTCAGGTGCCATTGAGTCATCTCTGGCTCATAGTGACCTTATATGTTATTAACAGAACAAAACACTGCCTGGTCCTGTCCCATCCTCACGATGCCTGCTATACCTGAGATCATCGTTTCGGCCACTGTGTCAATCATTATTGAGGGCCTTCCCCTTTTTTGTTGACCCTCTACTTTACCAAACATGATATCCTTCTCCAGGGAATGGTTCCTTCTGATAACATAACCAAAGTAGGTGAGATGAAGTTTGGTCATTCTCACTTCCAAGGAGCATTCCGTCTGCAGAATAGGTTTGTTAGTTCTTTTAGCAGTCCATGATGTTCCAGCATTCTTCGTCAACATCACAACTTAAAAGCATCAACTCTTCTTTGGTCTTCCTTATTCATTGTCCAGCTCTCACATGCATATGAGGTGACTGAAAGTACCATGTTTTGGGTTAGACACAACTTAGTCTTCAAGGAGACATCTTTGTTCTTCACCACTTGAAAGAGGTCTTTTGCAGCAGATTTGCCCAGTGCAATATGTTGCCTGATGTCTTGACTGCTGCTTCCATTGGTGTTGATTGTAGAACCAAGTAATAAGAAGTCCTTGACAACGTGCATTTTTTTCTCCATTTATCGTGATGCTGTTTATTGGTCCAGTCGTGAGGATTTTTGTTTTCTTTATATTGAGGTGTAATCCATACTGCAGACTGTAGTCTTTAATCTTTATCAGTAAGTGCTTCAAGTCATCCTCACTTTTAGCAGGCAGAGTTTTGCCATCTGCATATCACAGGTTGTTAATGAGTTTTCCTCCCATCCTGATGCCATGTTCTTCTTCATAGAATCGAGCTTCTTGGATTATTTGCTCAACATACAAATTGAATAAGTATGGTGAAAAGATACGACCCTGACGCATTCCCTTCTTGGTTTCAAATCATATACAGTCCCCTTGTTCTGTCTAAGCAACAGCCTCATGGTCTATGTGCAGATTCCTCATGAGTACAGTTAAGTGTTCTGGAATTCCCATTCTTCCCAATGTTATCCATAATTTGTTATGATCCACACAATCAAATGGTCTTGCATAGTCGGTAAAACATAAGTAAGCATCTTTCGGGTATTCTTTGCTTTCAGCCAAGATCCATCTAGCATCAGCAGTGATATGCCTTGTTGCACATCCTCTTTTGAATCCAGCTTGCATTTCTGGAAGTTCCCTGTCAATGTAGTGCTGCGACCATTTTTTAATTATCTTCAATAAGATTTTATTTGCATGTGATATTAATGATACTGTTCAATAATTTCCACATTCTGTGGGATCACTTTCTTTGGAATGGGTACAAATATGGATCTCTTCCAGTCAGTTGGCCACGTAGCTGTCTTCCAAATCTCTTGGCATAGCCCAGCGAGTGCCTCCAGCGCAAGCAATATCCATTTGTTGAAACATCTCAGTGGGTATCCATCAGTTCCTGGAGCCTCGTTTTTCACCAATTCCTTGCAGGTTCACCTTGTTTCCTTCAGTACCCTTGGTTCTTGATTTTATGCCATCTCCTGAAATGGATGAACATCAACCAGTTCTTTTTGGTACAGTAACTCTGTGTATTCCTTCCATCTTATCTGGATGTTTCCTGCATCAGCCAATATTTTGCCCATAGGATCTTTCAATAGTGCAACTTGAGGCTTAAATTTTTTCTTCAGTTCTTTGAGCTTGAGAAATACCAAGCATGTTCTTCCCTTTTGATTTTAGAGGACGTGGTGAATGATACAAGTCTGAGGGCCTGCTCACTGTGACTCATCAGGAATCCTAGTCTTGCTAAACCAAAACCAAAAAAGCAAATCACTGCCACGGAGTCATTTCCATCTCATAGCGACCCTTCCTTGGGTTTCTGAGGCGGTATCTCTACGGAAGTAGATTGCCCCATCCTTCCTTCCAAGGAGTGCTTGCAGTCAAATGCCTTAAGCACTATGCCACCAGAGGCTTATGCATTTCCTCCCCAGTTTATCTCCTGCCATGTAAATTTATGAACAGGGTTAATCACAAATAATTTGGGTTCAGAACAGCCTGTGGTGATGAACCTTTGAGCCTTAAACTTTGGAACATACACTGGAAATACCTTGTTAGGAGTATTGGTACTTGTTTCCCTCCTTCTCTGAGCACCGGATGTCATACTCAGTTGTTTTGCATTTGAATGTATTCATGATTCCTCCTTCATAGTCTTTGTGGAGACAATGTATGGTGAATCACTAGCATAATTATTATTTTAGTTATAGTCAGACCGCATATCCACACTTAGCACAGGGAGCTGGGGTGGATTTCATTATTCATTCAGAATAAGTTTCCTACTCTAATATAAATGTTGCTCAGGATAGAGCTTTGAAATGGATACTGATTCTTTAAATTCTTTCCTGTCTGTTTCAGGAAATAGTGAGATCCTGTTGATAGTAAAGTACAATGTGTCTAAAGTTCACTTCTAAACACTCTGCTCTTTGCAATGAAAGTCATCTGCATTCTCTTTATAATTCAGAGCCACAAGAGATCTGTCTAATCTTGGAGATCTGATCCAGTATCATTTAGGAAAAAAAAAAATCCTTGGTAATAATTCTACCATTCAGATTAGTGAAAGCAGCAAAGCTTTACAGCTTCTGTCGTCTTAAAAAGATATCACGAGACAGGGGAATAAGGACTTGGATCACGGTTTGGGAGATTTAGTTGTTTGTAAAAATAAAATGATTAGTACAGTTATTATTCAAGTTTTTAATCACCAAAAGCAAATGGCATCTGTTTGTTATCATTCTTTCTACAGAAGACAAAGGCTCAGGTCCCAATGGTGCTGACTGCTGGTCCCAAGTGGCTGCTGGATGTGACTTGGCAAGGAGTGGAAGACAACAAAAACAACTGCATTGTGTACAGCAAAGGTAAACACAAGATCCTCTCCCTCCCTCTTTGGACATATTGAAACCTGAGCATTGCAAAATATCGTCAAATGAGTGGGAAGACAAAGTAAAATTTGATTCTCTTCCTCTTTCCCTGATGAGTCTCTCTAACCTGTTTATTTAGGAAGGCCACTTGTTTTTGGTTTTGTTTCTGTACAACATGTAAGAAAAAGCATCATACCATTAATTTCTTAGTGCCATAGACACCTGAGTTTGAGTGGCCTGACTAGTAACCTTCCCTTACGATTAGTTTCACTGATAGGTCTGGCCTGATGCAATCCCAGATTCCTCTCTTGGGCATTCTCTATCAAGAAGTAAATTTCTTTTGAAATTTTGCAATTTGTGTCAAGGTGCATGCTCCAGGAGGTACTCCATTCCAGCTGGTTTCTTGAAATCACACATGGTGAGAGGATAGCTGAAAATGAAGCCATTGAAAGACTGAGAATTCTTCCCCATGGTGATTTCTGAAGGGCAGGAGGCAAACGGGGAAGGGGAAGCTGCTGGCTTGCAGAGCATTGCCTTTGATTTGCTCAGTGTGACATCATCCTAGACAGTGTCATGTAGCTATGCCTTGGCTACAAAGGAGCCTTAGCCCCATGATGATACATCATGGGACCAGCTCTCCCAGAACTCAGGACCCACCTTGTGTGTAGTGTGGTTTGGGGCACTGTTCCCTGTGTTCAAATTATGGACCCTAGCTCTGTGCTCTTACAATGAAATCCCTAATCTCGCTTCTTCGTAAATATTGCAAAACCTTGTGCTTCTCATGTTTAATTTCTTTTAGCTTTCTTTTTTAACCAAATAGACCTACTGAGATCAAAGATTTATTTGCACATTGAACCTAGAAACCATAAAAGCATACAAGGGAACAAGCAAATAAGCACCCCTATCACTATATTAACATATAAAACACTAATCATAACATCAAAGACTCTTAAAAACTTGCTAGAAACAATTACAACTTGTTCTTATAATCATTACAATTTGTACACTTATAAGAGGATTGCCTTTAAACTGCCATAAGCCTTTGAAAGTTGAAACGGCGGAAAGAGGGAATTTGCAAGCTAAAAAAAAAAAATCTGCACACCAGGATCTGATTATATTCTTTTTCCTTCTGTAATTGCTGGGCCAAAACCCACCAATTTTCTGCCCTGAAATACCTGTGGTATACTGGTAGAAGCTGTTAACTAGACAGATCACTTTTTTCCCAGGATAGATCAATACAAACTCTCAAAATTGGAAGAAATAGTGATCCAGCTTCAATGACCACACTCAGAATTCAGAGACGTACAGAAATTGCCCTGGCTTGTAGGACTGGTGCTTGGTGGGGCAAATTTTTGTCACAGGATAGCTTCTCTCTATTATGACAGTATAATATGGACAAGCCCAAGGAATAGGTATTCCCCTGTCATGATCCAAATCCATTGCATTTTTAAATTGGTTATTCTTTTAGGAGAGATGATTATTGTAATAAGAGAAAAACTTTAAAAAATGTAGTTCGATGGTTAGTAAAGTACTTTAACTTGAACACTTTTATGTGTTTGTTTTGTGCTTGGCTATACCTTAATTGTCTTGGCAATAAATAATTTAGGATAGTTAACAGAAGCTAACTAATAAACTCCTAAAACAAGCATTGAACCCAGTTGTGTGCTAGCATGTATATTGATAAAGTTGCTGTTGTTAAGTGCTGTCAAGTGAGTTTCAACTTACAGCAACAAGATCTGGCAGATGATAGGGTTTTCTAAGTTGTAATCTTCACGTCTGCACATCAGCAGGTCTTTCTTCCTTGAAGCCATTGGGTGGGTTAGTGTCACCAACCTTTTGGTTAGCAGCTGAACACTGAACCATTATGCCACCAGGGCTCCTACTCTGGTAATAACAGCTCCCATTTACTGTGCACCTTTTTGCATCCTCAGCTTGGTGCTCCTCAAGCAAATTGTATACCGTTCTCTCATTTTATTAGTCTCTTTCTTTTATGATCATCCATTTAGTGTTGGAGAAAAGAGTAGACAAATGTTACCTTTCATTACCTGTCTTCCTATCTGCACAATAATTCTTGATATCAAAGACTGTCTCTCAATCACCTTTCCATCTCTGGTCCAGTACATTGCCTATACAAAAAAAAAGCACTAAGTATGAGTCGGGGCCGACTCGACGGCACATAACAACACCAATAACAATAACAACAAATGGCTATTTAGATAACAAATGATGAATGGTTGCCAGATGCCATATGAGGCACACTAGGAACTTCACATATAGTAATGACAAACCATATGAAACTGACATTATTTGAACGTTTTTGTTTGTTTGTTTGTTTTTAACTTACAAAGTGATAATTTTATGTTGTTCAAGTTAACATAACAGTTGGCGTTGCAGTTTGAGAGTCACTGAGTGGTACAAATGGTTAAGTGCAGACAGTTAGCCAAAGGATTGGCAGTTGAAACCCAGTCAGTGTCACCTTGGAAGTAAGGTTTGGTGATCTGCTTCCAAAGGTCACAGCCTTGAAAATGCTATGGAGCAGTTCCACTCTCCACACATAGGGCTGCCACACATTGCCATGAGTCAGAATTGACTCAAAGGCAATGAACAATTGCAGTTTGAATACTAGACTTGACAATGACTTCTGTATGTGCATTATTTCAATTATCCTCATTTAATAGGGCCACTGGATTTGTTGTTTTTTTATGACGTGATTATTATACTGCCTCATTTTATGAAAGATGAAATTGAGATTTAGATAGTATAACTTGTTAGGATCACACTAATAACTGTTTGAGATGGGTTTCAAACTCACATCCATCTAACTTAGTGTCTTGAGTTTTACTGAAATAAGTTCTCTCTGTATTAGGTTTTAGAAGAGTTAAATGAAATAGATATTATTTTTCCATTTTACACATGCAACTTAGAGAAATAATATAATTGTCCATCATCATGGAGTGTTTGGGTTAGAGTGAAATTCAAATCCATCTCTTGACAACTCCAAAGCCTGTGTTTTTGTACTTTGTGACATTTTACAATGAGTAAATCCTCTCACACCACTCTGGTCTTTTTGCCTGGGAGGAATTACATAGATTATATATTATAGTCAGCATGTCCCCATTGTATTCTTCACAATCCTGAAGACCAAATATTGTCTATCACGACCCCTTTAAAAACTGACAGTCTGTACTGGTATCACTGTGCCCTTCAGTGAAGAAGCCTAGTTAGGTTATTTGACCAATCGATGTTAGATTTTTCTCTTTCCATCAAGTATTTCTTGAAACTAGCATATCACACTTTGGGAAACTTTGCTGTAGACTCTACCTTGCTTTTCTAAATGGGCTCTGTACTAGTTAGTATTCAGACTGCCATTGGAGGGAGAGGACGGCTCTACCCAGCACACATTCAAAGCTTTACGAACACCCAAATATTCTGGGATTCTACTGGGGATCAGAGAGACCAATGAAAATGCAACCCCAGGAAGAACTCTAATCAAGACTCCATGGGCCCTGAAGTCTTCTACTACCATGGGTTGCAGGTAGGGGAAGCCTTCCACAGCAAGAAGGTTTCATAGGTGGAAAGGTTTGACACTTTAGGCTTCACAAATATTGGCTGAATAGCAATGATATATGAGATACTTTTGTAATGTGTATGTTATGTATTAGTTCAGGTTCTTTTGTTTGCAATTGATGGAATCCAGCTGAAATTAGCTTGAGTGAAAAATAAAAATGTGAGTGGGTATGTATGTGTATTGGGGTGGGAGGATCATCAAATCCATGTAACACAGTCCAGGGATATTCTGGACATCATTTGGACTCAATCCCAAAGCTCAAATGTTTTTCCCAGACTTTCCTGATCCTTTGGCTCTTCTTTCATGTGCAGGCCCTAGTCTCAGGCAAGTTCCTCTCAGGTAGTGGCAGACTCCAGACTTTTTCTACCAGTACAACAATGCCAGTGAAAAGAGGATTGTCCTGGGTTTTAATTTGGGCAGGTACCAACTCCTGAACCAACTAATTACTATAACTCTAACAGGCCAGAGTGCAATCATTCTTTGGACCTAGGAGTGAAATTAACCCGACTACAGGAGCCATCAAGATGGAGGAGAAGTTATTCCCCAAATGAATCCAAGTTGCTGCTGCCAGATCAGCTAACACCCATACCCTCAGATACTACACATTATTCCCAAGGTCAGAAAAGCATTCACTCAGGATGAAAAGATTCCTGATGCCACAATTATATTTCCTTTTTGTTTTCCAATTAGGAATCTAACTTCTTTTGAATCCTATGCCAAATTCATTAATACAAATCCTTGCTATCTGAGAGTTTATCATTACTGATTTGCATATAAAATACAAAATACATGCATATATACATATATATGCATACATACACACACACACACACACACACACATATGGAGCTCTGGTGGTGGGGAGTTGACTGCTAACCAGAAGGTTGGCAGTTCAAACCCGCCTGCCGCTCCATGGATGGAAGACTGGGCAATCTACTTCCATAAAGATTACCACCTTGAAAACCCAAAGGGAGTCACTATGAGTTTTAAAACCAAACTCACTGCCATCGAGGCAATTCCGACTCATAGTGACCCTAGCTAGCATACAGAATAGAACTGCCCCATCGGGTTTCCTCAGCTGTAAATCTTTTAGCCATCATACTGCTACCTTTTTCCTCTGCAGAGTGACTGATGGGTTCAAACTGCCACCTCAGGTTAGCAGCTGTGCCCTTCACCACTGCCTCACCATCAAATGTGGGCCAGTAGCAAAATTAAATATGGCTATAAAGCTTTCATTTCCAGGGTGTACAGCAAATAATTATTATAAACTTATATTCTATCACTTAGTGCTATTTGACAGGCTGCCATCAACTTGTTTTCTCAAAGTTACAAAAGCATAGTATTTGACATTAATATTGTAATCTGATGTACTTTTTTCTTGCCTCAACTACTCTCTTGTCATTCCAGAAAGTAATTAGCTCATCCAGAC